GGGTGACAGCTTGAGGCTCTGTCTCAAAAAAAATAAAAAAGAGAATCACTTAAGTTCAAGAGTTTGAGGTTGCTATGGGCCGTGACACCACAGCACTCTACACAGTGCGATAGCTTGAGACTTTGTCTCAAAAAAAAAAAAAAAAGAATTGTTTAAGATTAAAAGAGATTAAAGAAATTTGAAAACTAAATATGATCTGTGATCCTGGACAATACTTGTTTTTTATTAGAAAAGTTGTTAGTGGAATGATTGGTAAAGTTATAATAAGGTCTATTCAGTATACGATAGTACTAGATCAATGATAATTTTCTTTTTTTTTCTTAATTGAGACAAAGTCTTACTGTGTCACCCTCAGTAGAGTGCTGTTACGTCATAGCTCACAGCAACCTCAAACTCTTGGGCTTAAGCGATTCTCTTGCCTCAGCCTCCCAAGTAGCTGGGTCTACAGGTGCCCACCACAATGCCTGGATATTTTTTTGATTTAGCAGGCCTGGGCTGGGTTGGAATCCACCAGCCCTGCCAGCCCTGGTGCATGTGGCTGATGCCCTACCCACCGAGCCATGGGCACCACCTAGCAATGATAATTTTCTAACTTTGATAAGAGAATATCTTTCCTTTAGAAAATATATGTTAAGATACTTAGGAATAACAAGGAATTATGTCTACAATTTATCTCCAACATGTGTGTGGGTGTGTTTGTGTGTGGGTGTAGAGAAAGAGAAAGAGAGACAGAGACAGAGAAAGAGAGAAAGAAAGAGAGGAAAAGAAAGCATGGTAAAAATGTTCACATTTGGGGAATATGGGTGAAATGTATAAAGTGTATCAGAATTCTTTGTATTTTTCTTGCAACTTTTCTGTAAGTCTGCAGTTTGATCAAACATTTTGAAAGTAAGATGCAAAGAAAGTAAGCATGTTGTGAGCAATTTCCTTTAAGAATTTTCCTTTTGGCTCGGCGCCTGTGGCTCAAGCGGCTAAGGCGCCAGCCACATACACCTAAAGTGACGGGTTCGAATCCCCAGCCCGGACCGCCAAACAACAATGATGGCTGCAACCAAAAATGGCCAGGCGTTGTGGCGGGCACCTGTAGTCCCAGCTACTTGGGAGGCAGAGGCAGGAGACTCGGTTGAGCCCAGGAGTTGGAGGTTGCTCTGAGCTGTAAAGCCATGGCACTCTACCCAGGGGGATAGCTTGAGGCTCTATCTCAAAACAAACAAACAAACAAACAAACAAAAAAAAAAACAAAAAAGAATTTTCCTTTTTAGGTCTTGGGCCCTATTTTCTCCCACCACCTCATCTGGAATGACATGGGGGAGTGGACTGGCACTATTGTCCTGGAAGAAAGGAAGCCAATAAGTGATCCTAAATTTGGAACTAACTTTATATATTTCCAGCATAAGAAAATCAGCAAAGAAGGAAACATTACTTCACATTTCCCATTCAACTCTGGTAAAATCCAAGATACGACTTTACTTCTCTCTAATTCAAATCTGTGATTACCTGTCCTTAGGATCTGGAGAAGGACTCAGACTCAACTTTTCTGGACCTGAAAATGAGCTCCCACTAGAAATCAAACTTTCGTGAGAGCCCACCACACTGACCCAGGGTCAGTGAGCTAAACTTTTTCTACTGACATAGGCTGATTAAATAAATAAATTTGTTACACCTTCTGAATGGCCACTAGATGGCACTCATTGCTATAGTTTTTTTCTCTACTCTGATTCTGAACTTCTGCTCAGAAGTAGCATTGCTCTGAACCGCTTGTCAACCATTTATAGAGGCCTAATATCTCTGATTATCAGTCAGGAAAGACTATATCTGCTGAGAAAAATTCGTTCACCTGGTCAAATGCCTACAGACACACAAAAATCTAATATTCATTCTTCTTTGTAACTTTTTAATTGAAGTACATACATCTAGGAAAGACCAAGAAACAACCTTAAGAACTTTCTAAATTAGGATCTAAACTTGGTTCAGTACCTATTCAACACTTCCTCTCCATCCAGACATCCTTTATTCCTTCTTAATTCTTATTTTTATAAATTTTGTGCTTAATCTCATGATATGAGGTATACTTCCCCACCATTGCATGAAACCTGAGTGTTTCTAATACCACCCATTTTGATACTTAGTAGCCCATATTATAGGTCTGCCAACCTGAATTATTTCTATATTCATTAAATAAACATTATTCAAATTCTACCTTATGCAAAATACCTAGATGTCATGGATGGTTCCCATGTTCCCAATAGAACTTAAAATGCTCTAATGAAGAAGGCATGCCCCACAATGAACTTGGTATAGTAGAATGAACATGAGCTTTGGAACCAGACAGATTTAAGTTCAAATCACAGATCTGCCAGTTACAGTAGAGACTTGGGTTCTGAGTCTCAGCTTTCTCATCTGTAAAATGGGGAATACCCAACATGTAGCTCT